TAAACATAAATCAAATAGTTTTCTTTCTAAACGAATTCAGTAAAACCTGCGCTTGGAAGAGCGAAAACGTCAGTAAATTTTCTAGCCCACCGATGACCGGGTAGATAAAACCACTAAACACAGGCAGTTGTTCGAGGATTCGCGCCCACCAACGTATAGTTTTCTTCGCGTGACTAACACATAAATAGGAGTTCGTTTTCCATAGAAAGTCTTCTCGGAAGTATCCCCTCTCGGCGTATCGTCCATACGTTGCGTTGGCACGGCCGTGGAAAAGCAGGGACAGAGGAGACACGTGCCCAGGACACTGAGACGATGGGGTGCCAAAATTGTTACATGATCCAACTGATAAATTTAATACAAGTGTTTATTTTGCATTAACACTTGTAATATTGCATAATGTCTGTACTTGTATAGCCTTCAAAATCCATCACTTTGTAATTCTGTATGTACAGTACCTTATACTGTAAACAAATTGTATTTAACTACAACATTATCGCTATACCTGCAGGCATCATTGTATTTACTCCTGTATACTATTCCAACCTACTTCTTGATATCTCTGTAATTCCTGTATTGTAAACATGTTAACAACTACTGTATCTGGTTTTCATTCCCGGTAGTGCCATGCGGAGCCGGGCATGTACAAACTGTTGTACATAATAAAGATATTGATTGATTGATTGATTGATAAATTCATAAAAAGTTGTCTCGTACGAGTATAAAAAATTATATTATAAAATAAAATATAACACGCACAACATTAATGAAAAGTGGTTTCTTTTATGATTTTTAAATTTGTGATAAAAGGCTATTTTGTATCCTGCAATTCTGTAATGTTTTATCAATTCGGTTATTTTCTGTAATATCAGAAAATAGCCGAATTGATAAAACATTACAGATCAGAGAGATATTGAAGTATCTTTGATACTATTAATCTCATATTTATATCGATTTAAAGAAGATTGTCGCATCGCTGCTAGTTGTATCCTAAGAATTACACTTAAAAAAAGTTCGATTAATCGTAAACATTGAATTACACGTTATTACAGTTCTGGATCGTAGATTGCTCGGAATAACAGATGACCGGTGACTAAAATTTAAGCGTGAGAGTTAACGAATGATTCGAATATTTGTATTTTTAAAGAGACAACATTCTTTAATGAATAAATAAATAAGAAAATTGACAGCGATTAGTGTGTCGGAGGAGGGTCCTTCATCACACTAATCACTATCAATTGCTAATTACACCTTCGCCCGTCTAACATTCAGATGTTAGACAGGTGGAAAAAACTCAGAAAATCTCACATAGCCATTCCATTTGTGAGGTGCGAACCAGCGACCGGTATTCTGTCACTGGTGGGGCACAGAGATAAGAAGAACAGTAGCATACAAGAGCGTGTAATGATTCGTATCCACGCTCTTATCAAATTTACTGTAAATTTAAATTATTAATTTATTGTTTAATATTCGTTCGATAGGGAAAGCTGCAATTATGAAAATTCTAGGTGGAGACGTTTGAAATGGAGGGACTAAAATCGATACTGACTTACAACGTTCCAATTTACCTTGGTTTAGAATCGAAATTACAGAAGTACTGCGTATCCCCTGTCTTAACGCCGGTAGTTACACAAGATTCATTCGTAACTTTCGTAGGTTAAACGTTAATATTTTGTATATCCACAACTAGACAATTCTCTCGTCAATAAAAGCTAATTAATTCAGAAAATTTAATCACAAATATTATTTAAACTTTCAATTTAAATTCAGTTTAAAAAGATCCAGTTATCGATTTATTCTTAATATTAAAGCAGTTATTTACATATCAATTAGTTAAAAGGAAATCCCTAGACAAAATATTGGATCGATGAGATACTTTGTCAAAGTTTAAATCATTTTTTTGTCAACCGACAAAATAATTAATTGTAAAAGATTTAACTCTGTTTAATTTTGTCTAAAGGCGATTTATAGAACTAAAAGATAAGGTTCAATTATACCACCTTGCCCATTGTATTATATACAGTTCTGTAAAGGAAAGTTTAAAGTTTAGATGAAATCCGAACTTTAAACTTTCCACCCCGAAAAATTGTTTAACCTCGGCAATTTGTACGATTTAAAAGCGATATTTCAGTAGATGTATAAAGTCAATTATTGGAAAGTAAATATTTACTGCAAGTTTCTATAATACTCCTATGGCAATAAAAGGAATATTATGTAAATCCTTGTCAACCTATTATTAGTTAATAGCACGAGAGTGGCAATTCTGGTTCGATAAATTCTGTATCACGGATCGTTCGAATCGTAGTTGATTTAACGAAGCGTTGAAAATTTTCTTGTAAAACTCACACAAATTCGACAAATAAAGCAATCTCTGTCTGTCCGGGCTCCAATGGAGATGGTTAATTTGATATTTACGAATTTCTGCTTTTATATCGACCCCATTATTTACATTTGTTCTCTTCTGTTTTTGTTAGATCCGTATATTTTCCTTTTATGACATTTTCCTCTGATCTAATATTGCTGTTCTTTCTTTATTAAGGCAATAAACATTTGGTCGCCACTCCAGAGTTAAGATAATTATATTTCTGTCGAGTACACCTTCTTCTAACCTTATCCTTACACAGATTTTAGCTTCTTTCCTACATTAATTTGCGTTTGTACTTTATATTTATCTAAATTGTTAATTTTTATTTTTTGCGCTATGAATTTACACAGGCGTTTACCTACGTATGGTGTTGTATTTACTTCGAATACAATGCCATCTCCCAGTCGACCACAATATTTTTCCTTTCTTCGATTTTTCTTTCTTATATTTCGATTAAAGAAATTTTCTGTCGGCATCGTATTATGTATTTCCTCCAGGCTTATTATTTGTCTTCTTTCTATAATACGATGATTGTAAAATTATTCTATCGACACATAGCCTAATATATATATATAACACGTATTAAACAAGTATAGGGGAAAGTAGGATAACGGGGCCCACTTGTTTTTTTTTTTGGCTAAACGGTTCAGAATTCCCAATCCCAACAAGCGCTTGCATCTAGCAGTTGCGGAGCCAACTCCGAATTCTGAATATGACGGCTGTTCCCCGCACACGCTCGATTGCGTGAGGAAAAAACAGTTTGGTGCATCTTTCTTCTAATTAGAAACTATCATTTGTTCGACTGTATATAACTTATTGTTTTAATAATATATATTAATGCTAACTATTCCCTCAACTATTAAAATACATACGAGGAAAACATTTTACTTTCTCCCTTCGTGTCTAGTCGAGGTTAGAAACATAAACTGGCGCGAAGGGGTAACGGGACTCGAGGAGAATCGAATGACAACGAAGACGATGACGTAGATGCGAGCGATGCTAATAATACCCGCATGGTCCGCGGGGAATTTGGTAGAAACAAAGAATTGTGGTACAACTCCGGACGATTACATTTGTGATTATTGTATCGAGTGATTAAAGTTTTTAATTTAAAGCGCTCGAACTTATCATTAAACGCACAAACTATTTCGAGAAGAATACATATATAAAAAGTTAATAATTGAGTTTTCTAGTTTCTGATCAAACATTTCTAACGTTTTTATACCATGCTTCCCATTACCCCACGTAATTGGGTAACGGGGCTCGACGTAATGTTTTTTGTTTTTTATAATTAAGGAAAACAATACTCGAGTTTTGACTCTCGCGCTTCATTTCTCAGAGTACACTGTTTGCGCCATTAAAATAACTCGTCACAATATCGTTAAGTTTTTTCAAAAATATGAAAATACCTTAGGTGGTCCCATTCCCCTACTCTTCCCTACAGATATACACGCGTTAAATACAGAGATTACACAATATATAGCCTAGACGTATTACACACGTATACGAGTATAATATGTGCTTATACTACTGGTACATTTATTTATGTATAAACAATATATAATATACTGTACAGTACATGTATTTATATGTACAGTAGACTACTAGATTACGTTATGTTTAATATATATCATACCTGTATAATATATACTGTTTAATTTTCCTTGAAAAATTTGAAAATAAACGCAATGTTTAATCCAAATCTTTTTATTCTTTTACCTTGTTACTTTTTACCTTCTTGTTTTATTGGCATTACGTCCGCAATTTTATTTATTTTCATTTCAAATTTAAATTTAAGTTTAATATATTAATTAATTTTAAATTTGCATTTGTTTTTCGTAATTAATTAACGAAATGGCCGGCGCAGTACACTCGGATGTGTGGTAAGAGGAAAAAACCACTCAATTTAAATTGTAAATATGTTTATCGTTCATAATTTTGTTAGTCCGTCCTTTTATTGTAATTAATTCCGAAATTATTGTTATTAATATTCGTTTATCAATTTTTCATATTTTAATTTATTTAAAATTATTTACTGCTTTCTCGTGCCAAGACATTTTAAAATGATAAAATTTCGGTCTGTATATTTTAATTTTGTATAACCGAATCCTCGGTTATTTATTTATTTTTTTTACCGTTTTTTCATTGAAATTATCAATCTTGCTTTTGCGAAACTTTTTATTTTCAATATTTCGGTGGCGGGTATCGATTACCGACAACACACCTATTATTTACACAGCAATCTTGTCTTCTTTCGACGAAAAATTTATCGAAAATACTCGAAAATTTTAATCAAAAATATAGTTTATTCCACTTTATTTACGAATAAGTAAAGAGAGTCTCTTTCTATAATACGGCGGTTGTCAAATTATTCTATCGAGACGTAATACGCGTATAATACTTATTAAATTACGTATACACGCATTAAACCAGTATACGGGTATTAAACGGACTTAAAGATATTACATACGTGTTAGACGCGTATAAACGCGTTAAACACAAATAGACAATAGATGAAAGAAAGGAAGCCAAGAGGAAGACCGTTGTCGAAAAGGTAGGATATCTAAATATAATTTAAAACGGGAGTCGATGTTAATTTTTCCGATAATCGTTAATAAAATCTTGGTGTTTTGCAACGGGGTGGACGTCCCGATCGGTTTTCTTCCAGTTGATTTAAGAAGGAAAAAACACTAAGGAGCAATGTTCAAGGTTTCGTGCGTGGTATAAATTCTTATCGAATACACCGGGCGATAGTTAACGGGAGGGACGAAGAATGACGATGGACGCGTACGCCGCATCCATGGCGAAAATAGACGAGGAACTTTCCTCCCCCTCGGTCGAAGAAAAGAAATATTATCGATTGAGCAGAAAATTATGGGAAAATCCGGAATTGAAATTCCAAGAGAAATTCGCTCACGACTTTCTCAGCCAGTTTTTGGAAGACAACGGCTTTCGCGTAACCAGAAATTACATATTACCCACGGGGTTTAAAGCCGAATACGCATCTAACAACGGTAGGACCCTTTCTTCTCATTTTTTCAAAATTTGTTGCCATGTTTTTGGATTAGAATTAACCCGAATTCCCTCGGAAACGTCGTTGGCAATAATTGCAATTAACGTAATTTGATAGCAGATAAAATTGAAAACGGACGTTTCCGTCCATTGTTAGGTTTAGCTCGGGAGGAAAATATATGGAAAATGTTACATCGGAAGAAAGGAACGTTGGAAATTTATTATCGAATTTATCATTGGAATTTTTAAAGCGAAATCGCTTAACTCGAATATTTATTGCCATTTTGAATTTTTCCTTTGAAAATATTATTGGTAAACAAATACTTTTAAAATCCTCGGCATTAAATCGCCAGAGAAAGGTGTTTTTGCGGTCGTAGCTATAACATACAACGGGTTCTTCTTCTCTACGGATACGTGTAAAATATGAGGCGTAAGCCGCAGCCGTGCGCAAATTCGTCTCTGTTTACTATTCATATTCATTAATAATCGATTAATTAACGACGTTTGATAAGTCTCGTTTCGTTTACCGGGTGAGTGGAAAGAACTGCCATTAAAGCGCGACGTATTAAGGAGGAGAAGAGTCGTAATTATTATCATTTGGTCGATGTACTGAGGTAGAAATCGAACGAGTCGATGGCCGGGTTGATCCGAATAAGAGGATTTTTAATAACATTTTTTTTGTATTTTTACTTTTTGGAGAGGAATTTTTTGCCAGAAGAGATAAAGTAAATCGAAAGCTTTCGAAATCGAGATATAACAACGATAACAATTTCCTTTTTTTCGAAAATAAATGGTTCTTTCGCCAACAACAATATTACAGGCCCGACGATAAAATATCGAACAATTCTTCTCCGCCGATCGTCGAAGATCTTTACCTCCTAAACCTCGTATCTGGTCTAAAAACCACTTTAACAGTTCGGAAATGGCGGAAACACCCGAGGAATCGGCCCGCACAATCGCCTTACTGTTTTCTTAGTGCGAATTACACGCCTTACTCCTTTTACTGCCAATCTACGCGAATTTTAAATATAAAAGATAAATTTCCAATTTCTAAATACAGTATCTGTAACTAGCGATATATTTCCTTCAAGGCTGTCTCTATCGGAAAAAACAGATAATTTTTCGTACCGCTTGTTTCTAGATATATCACACCTGTTGGGTCTCGAGCGAAAGATCACTTGTCTTCTACATCATTTTTTCGTAGGTGCGGAAGTGACGTTGGCAGTTATATGCGAATACGACGCTCTTCCGGGTCTGGGACACGCCTGTGGTCACAATTTAATAGCCGAAGCGGGAGTTGCGGCGGGAATCGGGGTCAAGGACGCTCTACGAGCCGACCCTTCTCTTCCGGGAAAAGTAATGGCGGGTACTTGTTGTTTAAAATGTCTTTTTTCCCGCATTTTCAAGTCTGGACGTTTCAGATAATAGTGTTGGGAACTCCGGCCGAAGAAGGAGGAAACGGAAAAGTGGAAATGATAAGAAAAGGAGCGTTGGACGGGGTGGACGCGGCCATGATGGTTCATCCTAGCAACTCCGATTACCTGCTTCCTCCTTTTATAGGAAACGTCAAAGTAAGTGCAATTGTCGCGTTCTTGTCAAAACCCAGTCGGAACGAATGCGCATTTTGCAGGGGAGTGCCAAGTTTTTCGGTAAGGCCGCTCACGCTTCCGGATTTCCCTGGGAAGGAGTCAACGCCCTGGACGCTGCCGTCATCGCCTACAACAGTTTGGCCTGTCTGAGACAACACATCAAATCCACTTCCAGAATAAACGGTAAGTGTGTTAATCCCCGATTTTGGAAGGTGTCCGGTGACATCGTTGGCTTTTCCAGCGGTGATCACCCAAGGTGGAAGCGCTCCCAACGTGATTCCCGACGAAAGCCAAGTCGAGTTCTACGTCAGAGCGGCCAAGTGGAAAGAATTGGAAGAACTGAGCGTAAAAGTCCGCAAGTGTTTCGATTCGGCTGCCCAATGCACGGGATGTCGCCTGGTTTATAAATTGGTAGAAAACCACGGACCCAACAATCTGATATCCAACGGCAAAATGGCGGAGATATACCAGAGACACGCCACGCGATTCGGTAAGTTTTTATAAACTAAACAAATGATAAAACGGGGTGGATAATGACGTCTCGATGCGTGCGCAGGCGTGAAATTCAACGACGGAGATTCCCGAGTGGTTCCTTTCGTGGCTTCCACCGACTTCGGCAGCGTTTCGCACGTAGTCCCCAGCATCCACCCCAATTACTCCATAGGGACGTCGGCGCCCAATCACTCCTCGGAGTTTGCGCAAGCGGCGGGATCGTGGCAGGCCCAAACACCCACTCTGATCGCCGCCAAGTCCTTAGCCCTGACGGCCGTCCAACTGATGAAACGAGCCGAATTGCTGCCCGAAATTAAAACTCGATTTAAGAACGATCTGAAGGAAGACGACAAATGACGTAAATAAACAGAATATCCCTCTGAGTAGTGTCTTTCTGCTTCGGCTACAGCGCGTTAATGGTCCGCGAAGAAAATAATTTACGTAATTCTGCGGAGGGGAAGGAATATTAAAGGCAAATTTGGAAAATCCTTTCATAAACTACAAAAAATGGCGCAATAAACAATTGATTGGTCGTTACGTCGCGGAAATGGAAACTCCAATCGTATCCCCACGCAACAGTTGGTCCATTAAATGTAAACGAGGAAAATGGTAATTTATAGCACGTGGGTCTGCCATTGTATCCGAGTGGAAGGGGTCTTTGCGGGTTATAGAGCAATGAATAACGATTATTAACGATTGTCATCCGAATTAGCATTTAAATAGAGTCGAGTTAATCGCTTCGTTTCGTCTAGAAATTGCAGAATTGGGCTAAAAGTCCGCAGAAATCGTATTTACGCTTGGTGACCACCGTTCCAGTCCCTTAGTCGGGTCCGAAAAGCGCAAAAAGTTGGAAGGTTTATAAGAGCGCATTTATTTCTTTTTAGCCAGATAATTGCGTGCAAACGTATTGGGACGTCAGATAATGAGCCATTGTTATAGTCTCGTCCCAATGAATATTTAGATTTCCTTCGTTTATCGTAACACGAGGAGGGAGAGAAACGGGAATTCTTTTTATCGTACGTCAACATTAATTTCCGTTACCACCAAATCGCTTTGTCGTCCGAAGGCGCATCCGATAAACAAATTTCAGTTCTCCACCCCTTTATTTATAAGTGTCGCGTAGGAAAATGGGAAGGATCTAGCCAGGAATAAATTGGTGTATTTTCCACTTTTAAGGAGTGGCGTGAGTTTCGACTGTTCGCCACACGCGTACTTACGAACGAATGGACACAACCTCGTAATCTTCTTGTATTCTGAAGAAGGGAGAGTCCTGACTGCTTTCCGGTCGTCTAGACGACGGGTGCTTAACGTCCGCAACGGGAGGCGAGAATAATTCTCCGAGATTCTCTCCCGCCTCGAGTTATTTAGTGTTTTTATCGACTTTCGGCACACACGAACCCTATTTTCTTCGGTTGTAGTAGCTCGACGTCTTCGCTGCTACGGCTAAGTAAGGCGTTCGAGACAGACGACGAAGCAAAATTACAGATTAGAATCGTAATGGTTAATCGGGTTTCTGCGGACCGAAGATTAAGCAGCGAATTGGAGGGGGCGTAAGAAAACACGGTTTAGAATACGAATCATGTTCTTGGAGCGAGGGAGATTGTCAATGAAATATAAACGAGGAAGAGATTATTTTTCCGTCCTTTATTTTATTTATAAAAAGAAATAAAAGTCGCATTCTGGGTCCATAAATAAAGTAAAATTTTCCCGTCTTATAAACGTATTACGTCGGACCGGAAATGGAAGAAAAAGAAAAATTCAATTAAAGTCGACGGTGAAGTGGCTAATCTCTTGGCCACACGTTAACACGGGAAAAGAAAGGAAGTTCTCTGGGGTGGGCGCAACGTTAAGGGGCACGTCCCCGAAGGTGCGACGTTCCTTAATGGTCCGGGGCTTAAATCCGACTGTTGGCGATATTGTTTCGACCCTCGGAAACCAGAAAATTACAATGGCGGAGAAAGAACCTAACCCTCGATATCCTTTCTTCCCGTTTAATGCGCCAAGAAACCCGGTGTATCGTCTCGGTAAGAGCCCATTTCTATTCTTCTCGGGAAATTGCCATCGTCCCCATTTTTCTTTCCGGTCATGCCTTATTTAAGGTTAGAGACGTTCCGTGTTCCTGGGCATCTTTTATCATCCGGATAGTGTCAATTATAAGCGAGAGGAAGGAAGACGGCCGCTCTCTACCGGAGATTCCTACAAAAATCAACTATTATTTTTTCCCGGAGCTCCCTTTCTTCCGGATAATCTCTTCTAGATTTACCTCCCTGCCGGCGTCTTTCCGGAAATACCGACCCGCGCCGCTAATAAGCGGTCCTAAAAATAAGCATTTAATAAAGTCTCTTCGGCTAAAAGAGAGGGGAGAGGAGAAACTTGTCGGAGAAGAAGATAAAGGGAAGGAAAATCGATTAATTGATAGAACAAAGTTATTAATAAAATTATCGTTGGGAATTAAGGGTAAGCGTTATCGTCCGGCTTAAAAGCCGACGTCCACACCAATCCTCCTCTCCTCTCGAATTACCCCAGATAACTTGTATTGTTAAAGACGTTGGAACAAAGGATACGCCGCTACTTGTTCCTTCTTCTCCCGAGAAGTAGAGGAAACGCAATCTCCCAACAAACGTCTGTATTTAATGTAAAATAAGGAAGGAGAAGGGAACAGACCGATCCCAAAGTCACACTTGGTCGCGTAAAGAGAGACTTCGATACGCACTTTCGAGGGAGAAGTGGGACGACGAATTTGTCACCCTCCCCTCCAACTAATTATTCGTTTCTATCTGTTTTCAATGGAATCCTCTCAGACTACGTTCTCATTTTCTCCGTTTAAATCGACGATTAAGTGAGAAATGGCTAATTAATAGAAGGCTCGGCGGGATCCGGTTAAACCCGCCTCTTCCTTCCCCGGAATTGGGGAGGAAGACCGCCGATTAAAGATCCGAGGCCGAAAAGTCGACTTAATGAAGTTACGAAAGACGTTGCCACAAATACGCGCATTTACGCGTATTTTTCTAAACGTCGATCGATACCCGATTGGTTACGTAAGGGGTCTCGGGGGTCCTTCCCGTCCCTTTCTTCGTATCGGCGCAAAGACGACGAATGGAGATGAACTTTTCTGGTTTCGTCACCGGACCAGATCGCGCTTTAAACGCCGGGCGGGCGGCGGCGCGACAGTCGACGTCCGTCCGAGAAGGAGACGGAGCGAGCGTCGCGTCGGCGGAATGAAAGTGAGCGTGGCCACGTACCGCGCCAGTTCCGAGCGCCTGGATTCCCTGCGGCAGGCCGCCTCGCGCGCCGGGGAGAGAAGAGGCGTTAGTCTAGACACGGGCATCCCCCGAGAAAACTGCGCCCGGGAAAAAACCGCCAGGAGTTACACCAGTTATTCGCTGCGCCAGGTGAGTGCCAGTCCATTCCTTCCCGGCGGGCCGCGGATACCGGAACCGAATCCTTTTCTCACTTCCTGTACCGGAACGGGTCCGGTTAAACGGGGCGTCTACTTTCGAATCGTTTCTGACGGCAGAGCTTAATTACAAGCATCAATTGTACTGTACGAACCGGAGGAACTATTTTCTTTTGTTGGTCCGAGGACAATTCTTGCCTCTGTTTTCACAGAAAAGGGAACCGAACGGCAACGTAAACAAAATTTATTTCGCCGCATTACTCGGCGGTCGAGCAAAGGGGCCAGGCGTCGGATCGCAATGGTTTAACGAGAAGAAAGCAATAACAACCGGAAGTGACGAAGGCGACTCGTGCTCTTTCTTTCCTCGGCGATAATCGATGATGTTTGTTTACCTTCGATTTTCCGCGCGTGACTACCCTTAAGAACGCCGTAGGCCATCATTCCGCATTAATAAATACGATATTCGAATATGAATTTCTAAGAATTGACGGGTCCGTCGCCCGATCGAGCTCTGGCGGATAGGAATGACAATGGTTAGAAGAAAATTAAACGCGTTTAATTCTCGGTGGGAAGACTTTTAATATTTTCCCATCAAAGGGGAGGGGGAATGTCCCGGCGAGGAACGAGACCAAAAGTTTTAGAGAGAGGAAGCGACGGAAAAGAAAACGGCGCCGAGATTCTTCGAGATTATTGGTCGAGGAGGGATTGGTTGACGGCAACGCGACACGTGGGAAATATACCAAAGGGACGATCTCTCCCATCTTCACCGTCTTTCCTATCACACTTTCACCCTTTCTTCTTCTCCTTTTTCACCCCGGGCGATACCTCCGAGTAGTCCCGGTCTTCCGCCCCTTTCGCCATGAAATTATTCAATTACTGAGATTGAAGAAGGGTAGTTAAGGAAGAACAGACCATACGCGTACTCAATATATCCTTTTGATCTTAAAACCTTAAGTGGTGTGACGATGAAGTTCGACGAATGCTCCTATATTTGATATACAAACGCACCTAGCGGTATCGCGACTGTCGTGTTCCGACACCGTCCCTAACGAATCCATAACGCGAGAGCGGACAGGCCACAAAGGAGCCAAAGTAAGTGAACTAAAATAGAGCCAAGAGCTTACATCTAGTTCTTCTACGTGCTAATTAAGAACTGGGTGTAAGCTCTGTTCCATTTTCGGATCGATAGTGACGGGCGACGAGGCTCGATGTTTCTATTTTCGAATGACGTCTCCTCGGGAAAGGAGACGTCATTCGACGGATGGCAGTCACCTCCGTCACCGAGACTCACGAAGAGTCGTCTCCAAAAGTCAAAGTTGGAAACCCGTGATGGCGTTTTTCGACACTGGCGGAACCTTCCGTAAGGAATTCGTTCCCGAAGGACAAACCGCGAATGGCGACTCTACACGACTTGGTGTAGAATTATCAGTACATCCGCCGGTTTGCCAAGTTGCAAATTAGTTTCTTCTCCGGGACACGGCGTCTTCCCATTCCGCGGTTATCCCGTTACCCTTTCGATCATCCCCGCTTTTCTCTCGATCTTCTCCCGCCCACACGAAGCCCAAGGTGGGATTAAAAGGGACTCGATTCGCAGATATTTCGGACATTCGGTACATATAAAAACAATGATTTTCTAGAACTAGAAAATTCTCCGGGAGCAAAACACGGTCGAGATCTACTCTAAAGTTCTATTTGGCAGTTTAACTTCCTATATCCTTAGCTATCGGTCGTCAAAGTGGGGTGCGCGCACCCTTAGGAAACATAAAATGTCTCGAGGATAGACGATAAAATGTGCAATCGACGCCCGCCATTTTCGAGCTCGAGGCGAGTTCGGAATCTTAAAAAAATTAAAAATACGATTACACCAGGCGTTATCCCAACAGAAACGTGGCGTAAAGGCCCCGGAGCCGGACGGAACAACTGGTTAAAAGCTTTCTCTGCCGGTAATCGCCGGTCCTAAATACTACGTCTCAGGGCGCGCTTATTTAAAACTTGTAGTTCGTCTCGCCGGTAACAGATGGCGCGCCCGTTAAAACCCTTTTTATTAACGAACACTTTCGCGAAAGATTTTTATGTTCCGTACAAAGAACACCTCGCGGAACAAACACGAGAAGAAGCGACGTAAAATAATGAATATCGATTGGTCTTCCCTCGTCTTCGGGCAACAATTCAAACTTTTCGGAGCGCGGGAGACGTCGACGTCGACGCTCGACCGGATAGTATTCCTCCGAACTTTGAAACGTTCCCTCGTAATTCCAGTCTTTTATTTTTCTGACAGAAACAATTCTTTTATAGTATTCGCGAGACTGTCGGGCGGGCACTCGTTAAGTTTTGCGTCGGTTTTTATTTTCGAAAGGTGAGAGTGGGCAGATGTCTGATGTCTGTTGTTGCTGGGCAGTATGGCTCGAACGGGTCTACGGTAGGCCGCAGTTCGATCTTATCTAAGAAAGATACGGTATAATCGAGAAGACTCGAGCGGCTAAAGGAGTAACAAAAATCACATCCGAGAAATACAGAACATCGAAGAGCTGGTGATGGAACCCGATACGGATCGGACGACAAAACACCGAGAAACTCGACCAGATACTTTTTCTTCTGAAAAAGAGAATTAATGTCGATATCCGCTATTAAACATTTTTTTTGAAGTGGGAGGATGTCGGAACGACGGTCTTAGAATGGCATCCAAACCGGGTCGAGGTTAATAGGGATATCTACAATTACAATGCTATTACTTCCGAAAGATCCCGAAGAAGAGAGAAAAGCCATCGACATCGGACAGATTCTTTAACCCCACAAACGGAAAAAACATGACTAATAAAAATGCAAGACTGTGTATATACATATATATTTTTACTATTACGTATAAATAAACTTAGTAAAAATGTATATATATATTTTTTATTTTTTGGGGTTTTCAGAACGAATTAATCAAATTCCCATAAAACCCTACGGTAAATCGATAGTCGGTTAACGAACAATTCGGATAGCGAATATTATAGATTAGATACCATATGAGAAATATAGAGAATTTTCTGTAAATGGCGAGAAAAAAGTCGAAAAACATCGATAATTGATTCGAATATCTAAAGCTAGAAGTCGATTCGAAATTCGACTTGATATTATTCCATCGATGGAATACCGTGCAGAATAATATATGCAGTTTCCGGCAGCGCAGTTTATAAATTTTTGATATTCAAATTTAATATTAGTGCCAAAAACATACGTAACACAGTAGAGTTTCTCGTAACAATTATGCGGAGTTACGCGGTGTCCTACGACTGCATAATGCGGTGGTTTTTGACTGGGATTCCGCGACTCACAAGGATACAGCAACGAAATTATAGCGGTGCCCGAAATATTGTGCTGAGCAACCCATAACACTTTTTGCTAACGTAATGATGTGTCGTTTCATTAGTTATTGTTCGCGGGCCTTTCGGCGGTGGGTAGACTCGAACCACTTAGGTTTCCAAGGCATCTAGCGTATTATATAATAAAACAGCGTTAATATATTGTACTATATTTTTCTACAAGTAAAATTTGGCAAAAAAAAATAATAATAATAATAATAAAGGTTGAGCCCCTTAATATGCGAGAAAAGCAGTGAAATGATTGTAACAAATGTTTGAGGCCTAGTGAAATGAGAAGCCGGAACCAAATGGTCCCCTTGGTTCTCTAGAAAAATTATGTTCACTATCAACTTTTATTATAGTTCTTAAATAAATAAAATACTTGTTTCTTTAGAAATGCTATGTATTTGTTTTGTGTTCTCTATTTCTAAGAAAATGCAAGTTCAAATCTCTATACATTATTGGTCTTCGGGCTTTTAATACTTAGAGAACCCTCCTGCTTCGGTATTGTTTTTGCGGAACTTTCCCTAAGCAATAAAGTATAAAGTAAGGAATACATAAAAAGGTTTCAAAGCAGTTATATTTTCTAAGCAATAAAGCTTCTTAGGAGTTACGTAAAGTTTATTTTTCGATATTTTAGTATAAAAATGAAACTGAAACTTTTAAAAAACATTTTTACAAAATCCTTGAAGGCTGAAACGCTAGTGTTCCGCGCCGCAAAAAGTTTAAATATAGCTTATATTTGTCTATATATGTATGGACAAATATATGTAAGAAATGTTTTAAGTAGACGGCAACGTCCGCTTACGGATAAAAAAACTTTTATAATTCAAAAAAATGCAATTTAACTAGCTTAAAACAATTGCTGTATAACACATGAAATAATTTAGTGCCATAATTCGGCCATTGTGTAGAAGCTATGCGCGATAAAATACCTTACAAGATGCTGAAACAAATACGGGATGGGCCAAAAGTCACTTAACAGCGTTTCTCGCAATTTGTGTGTACCGAAGCGATGTAAATAGCGTACTACACGAGAACGATTTTGTAAAGTTTGTAAGCAATAAAGCATTCGAATAAGAGCAATTTAGTGTTCGCAATGGTTCTCCGACTTTTAGGCCATCCTGTATAACTTATAACTGTCGAAGCTGTAAAAATTATAAATTTACATATAAAACAAGTGCATCATTAAAATTAATCGTAACAGTAAAAAATATTTTACGTCGATGATAATTATTACAAAAATATAACATTCTACTTATAATAAAAAATAATAATTAATGAATTATTTACCTCTCCTATGTTTTTAATTGAACAAATTTTGAATTTTTCATTATTTACTCTACAGAAAAGTGGCTAATTAACCTGAATAAATTGGCCAGATTTGCATACAACAACGAAAACATCCATTCTAATTAATTAACGTTTGTTTGAACCGAAAACAACATGTAATTTGTTCAGAAATTTTTCATTCACAATAATGTATTTAAAAAAACAAAAAAAATCGTTATTAACTTCCGAAAACAGGCATTAAAATAAGCATAATGAATGCACTCGATAGTGACTATTATACTGTACATAGGGTCTAAACAGTGCAACAAGTTTTTCGGTCCTATCGTTCTATCCGTGGTTAGCATGCTGTAAAAATGATATCCGTTCTTTCTGTTGATTGGTCGAAAGAGAAGCGCGTGCATCATTAAAATTAATCGTAACAGTAAAAAATATTTTACGTCGATGATAATTATTACAAAAATATAACATTCTACTTATAATAAAAAAAATAATAATTAATGAATTATTTACCTCTCCTATGTCCCGTCTTTCCATTGTTCTAAGTTTGTTTCTAACCTAACTTTTTATTTTTTTATAATTTTTCTATTTATATGATAATTTCCGAAAAATCTCGAATCAATTTTCTTTGAAAATTTCTATCCAAAGACAGAAGAGAACGTTTTAATAATTAATATTCACTTGATGTTTTTAACAAAACTTTTATATAAATTATGAATAAAAGTGAATTGTAAATATTTATTTAAAATTAAAAATCTACAAGCAGTTGTATGTTGTATATTCAAAATTAATTACTTACAGACTTTCATTTTAATTAATAAAAATAAAACAGTTAAATAAAATTATATGAGGAGTTATATTTTAATATACAGTAGAGCGTCGTTTATCCGAATCAATTGGGGACTGGTGTTGTTCGGATAACTTATTTTTCGGATTACCGATTATGTACGAAAAAATATATTAATTTATCCCGTGTTGAAATATTTCTCCGTTGCGTGTCGCTTTGCGTTGAATTTTCGTCCATGTTAAGCCTAACGAAGACTATTGTATCGTTAAAAATTATTTTTTTATTTTGTACAAACAAAATAAATATATTAAAAAATTATACTTCAGAAGTTAATTTAGTATCAAAAACGTAAAACATTTGAGTAGCCGAAGACATAGCCAAAGATTGCGACGTANATATTAATAAATTAGTTAATGAAAAATAACCATACAAGATTTTTTAGTTTAGTCGACTTTGCTTATAAATATAATGATATTTTCAAACATAGGTCAAAGAAATGAAACTAATGGTACGGAAAACCTTCTTTTTTTATGCTTCTATGTCTTCTTGTAACGTTGTCCTGTTTAGTGTTTTCGTCAATTCCATTAAATATATATTTTTCTTTGTTTCTATGGGGCAATAAGAATTATAATTTAGAGTTTTTCTTGTAGTTTTTAAAAAAAATATTTATTAAATGGTTATCCAAAGAGTAAATTAAGTAAGTGGTATAGCAGTTACTTAAATAATAGATATAAAGTAAAAAATCAAACAACATACAGTTTATATATTAAATTTCCATATATATGTCCATGCCCGAAATATTATATTCGAGAAACGGAAGGAAACTGGAAGTGCGGTTGAAAGAACATGAAGCCGCCATTAGGTTAAAAAGACAGGAATCTCCGTGGTATTTACATTGTAATCAATATGACTGTAAAATAGATAGAAATAATATTAAAATATCATGTAAAGTAAAAAAATTGTTTAAAAAGAATTGTAGAATACTTTTGTATTATAACATATGCAAATGTAACAAATTTGAATAAGGGAATGAATGTAGATGCATGCTGAGAAGAAATCACCAGACATTAAAAGAACATCAACTGGCAGTTAATTGTATCCACTGATGAAGCCTGATTGTAAGGCTTATAAGTGTCCTAGCCCGGTCTTCAAGCCGGGAGATGATGGCAATGTTTTGTGCTTGGTCGCTACTTGCTTGGTACCTGGGCTGGGGGACTTGTCTCCCATCCGGGCCCTTAGTCTCGAGTTTTTCGTGTTGTACTCGAACTGACGTCATCGAACTCACTCGTGTTACTGTGACTCACATAATCGGTAGTCTCGAGTTAGACCTTTCGAGAGAACTTGAAAGGCGAGCGGAAATACGTCATACTCACTTGGTCCCGTTTGTCGNCGAAAGGCGAGCGGAAGTAGGTCATATTCACTTGTTTACGTTTGTCGATAAGCATGATGGGATTATTTACAATGCATCTGGGTTTGCGACTATAATGATTCGACCAATCAACTTAACTGTAACAAGTTGTAAACAAATCAACGCGAATTAGTTTACACGTGCTACATTTAAAAGTTGTCTTGTGGTAATATAGTACGCAGAAACAAAATGAAAACCTCGAATGTTTTATTTTAAAAAATAAGCGAAGAATAAAAAGAAATATTAGTAACATATATAGAAAATAATAAGAAAATGAACAGCGGAAAATTCGACAACGAATTTACAAGAAAAAGACAATTCGCTTTGTGGAGAGAATTACTTGAAAAATTAATTGCATGTGTTGAACCTAAAAAATCCATTAAGTAATGGAAAATATATTTAAACTTAATCCTTTCTTCATATAGTTTTCTTCCTCGATCTATTTCTCAAATTGTTTTGTCTATTAAGATTATTTATTAATCAGAACTTAACACTTCTGATTAATAAATAATCTTAATGTAGTGTCTATGCTTTTAATAATCTATACATATAATTTACAGTACTATCATTTTAATACTCTTTTTCGATGAATTAGATACTTCTTTTTATTTTTAGAAAAATTTGCTGTATACATTTATCAATTATGAATTAAAATTTTTTTATAAGTATTGACTTGACACGAAAAGAAATGTCATCTACTCGTGGTCGAAAAATTCGTTGTCTTCTCAAACAACGTCTTTCGGCTCTTTCTAACTCTTCGATAGCGATAAGAATTGCGTATCCGTCAGCCNTGGTTGCCCCTAATTTATACCCTTTAATTTTCTTTACCACTGAAGCGCCCCCTAGGACTTAGCGCCTGGAGCGGCTGCTCCGTTCGCCCTATGGTAGAGCCGGCTCTGCTCTGCTGCAAGACAGACAAAGTTTATAGTTAAAGTCCGAATTCGTCATTTTGTTTTGGTCCCGGGAACAAGTTTAACCTACACACCTGCAAGACCAACTCTACGTCTCATAATAGGGGATCGATCACATGACTAATTTCCCCAGCCCGAAGCTATAAAAGCGACTTCTTTCCCCCTCCTCGGGGGGAGTCTATCATCTACGGCTGGTCGGAGAGGATTAAGTCTCGGGATATATTTAACTTTGCGTCAATCGGAAGGAAAAGAGCATAACCTACTAACGTCTACGTTGAAATATACTAGAGGTATGGAGCATTTGATGTGAACTCTCTCTCCGCGAGTTAGGAGCTAGCGGACTAAATTCATTCCTCAAATTGTTAGAGATTGTAATCGTTAATTTTCCTTAATCTAATAAATCGTTGTTTCCATTGTTAAATGGTGTCATTTACTCGCATATCGCCTACGCCTCATCGACGACCCCTCTCACCTCCTCCACTCGACCTGACCAAAAAGAATCCCGACCCTTCGGGACCGCATTCGTAATTTAGCCATCTTGACAAGTGAGCAGGTATGACAACCTGTAGCCGAAAAGGGAGGTACGACCGTTTCGACCACCCCGGCGGTTCACAAATGGTTTTTTAAATTTGTATTATAGTGTCTGTAAGTATAACAGCATGAATGTATTATGATAAAGTATCTATAATTAGATTTTAATTATGAATTTTTCTGGGTAAATAATCCGGGTTTTTCCCATCCAGACCCAAGTTTTTTCATATGTCGCGAGTGGCAATCTTGATCGTGAGCGTCGAAATGATTCCGCTTAGCAGTGAGTCTCCGAGATATAGTCTTGTCACAAATACGGCTTTGCCGTTTTACTTGTTAACTCTACTATTCTTCAACGAATATAAATGCTTAATTAGTATATTGCTATTTTGTTTATAGCCTACTTTAAAAATTACTAATTTTAATAGACCTATGTAAAAATTTATCATGGATGTAATATTATTTACTCATTTACTAAGAATATTATGAATACTAAGGAATTATAAAAAATACATTTAGTTTTAATTACACGATTTTCTATTTACCTGATTTCAGAAACTGTAATTCTTCCCTTATGTGCACTGCCTTTCTCGTTTTTATCAGTTGCAAGGTCTTTTTATACGATAGAAAACATTCCAAGAATTCTTGTAATTCCAAGATTTCCAAATTTAAATATTTGTATATTTAAATTCGAATATTATCAATACTGGATTGTATTACACATTTAATGATAATTAACCTATAAACATTCTTTCTTAATATTTTATTATAAGTTTATACAGAGAAAAATTAAGCTTGTTTCTTCCTGTTTTTGTATTCTTGCTCTGTAGCAATCCTATTTTGCAACTCAACGTTTAGTTATTGTTAAAGTGTGTTTAAAATTTTTAATGATGTAAAATTATCAAGAGAAATTTGTTAATCCGACGAGCAATAAACTGAAATATTCGATAATCCGGCATTTTTTGAAAGGAGTAATAATCTAGAATTGTACGATAATATTATTTCCTAAATCGAAAATTGTTAGAACACACCTTGTGCTAAAGTTTCTGGCTTGCATAAGGGTATTGCAATACAGGTATCTCTTGCTTAACGCGGTACTGTATTTGATTAATTAACCCGCGAAATTAATTGCTGCAGAAATTTTAATTAACGCGGCTTTACCAGCTGTCTTTACTTGACATCAGAGGCGAATCTACATTGGGACTAATAGGGCTTAAGCCCAGGACCCCAGGTGTGAAGGGCCCACAAAAATTGAATTATCATAAATTTTTAATATTCTATTTCTTATGTTTTTTTTAATATAAGATATAAAGTTTGTTATTCAACACCATTTCATAAATAAATGTACTGTATTTCAACTCTGATTTTGATGTTATTAAAAATGAATTTTAAATCTCAATTTAAAGATTCTTAATGTAACAAAAAGGAAGCATCATGAACTTCAATAAGCCCTAGGCTCCGATAAACCTAGATCCGGCCCTGCTTAACCATACAGTATTTAATTAATGTGATTTTTTGATATTCGCGGTAGTATCGAGAGATCGGTTAAAAGGGATCCCGTTATCAAATATACAATACAATACGTATCTAGAAAATGACTATTACGCCAATACGAATCAATGTGAATATGGCTTTTGCGTAATAATAAGTTCATTAAAATTCTGCTGTTTTTTAAATCAATCTTAATACAATATAGTGCCCACTACTGGCCAAGTAATTCTGTTCCCGAACACTGGGAGTTCGGTCGTGGGTTCGCGCCTGGCCAGGAAGGGCTGGCACGGGTTGTCTACATAGAGTTTTCCTGGTTTTCTCCACGTCTTTAATGCCTGAATAGGGGCAGTTATCCTTAAAACAGACCTCCCGGAAGGCACCCCCTGGGCAGATCGCCCAAGTGTTGAGTTGACGTAACTTAACTAAAACAATTTTCTAAAAGTAATGTTTTACAATACAGTAGAGCGTCGTTTATCCAAATCAATTGGGGACTGGGGTTGTTTGGATAACTTTTTTTCTGATAACTAATTATATACGAAAAAATATATTAATTTATCCCGTGTTGAAATTTTTCTCCGTTGCGTGTCGCTTCGCGTTGAATTTTCGTCGATGTTAAGCCTAACGAAGACTATTGTATCGTTAAAAATTATTTTTTTATTTTGTACAAACAAAATATATTGAAAAATATAAAAACAATAAAAAAGTTATACTTCAGAAGTTAATTTAGTATCAAAAACGTAAAATATTTGAGTAGCAGCCGACATAGCCAAAGATTACAGCGCCACAGCACTG